AATTTAAAAAAAAAAAAAACTTTAGGTTGCAGAAGTCAAAAACGTGATTAGTACAGGTTGCAAATAATGATAAATAATAATAAAAAAAAGCCATACTTTTAAAATCATAAATAAAAGATTCGTCATTAAATATACCACATCGATGAGTGTATAGATCTGTCACGAAAAGATGAAGGAATGTCATCCAGTTGCCACACTTCTTCATTCTTCCTCAGCCTGTGGTCATGTTAGTCGTCCAACACATCCACAGACTCGTAGTCCACCCCTTTCGCTCTCGAGGATGGCCACCACTCTGCAAAAAAAACCATACTGTGGGTCCCCCCTCGAACCCTTGATGAAAACCACCACTTTATTTTTCCTTTCAGTTGGTCGATTAGGCTCTCTAGAGGCACCGTTACCTGCACATGACGGCCGAGGGTTAGCCACAAGTCGGCCTTTTTGCGAGGGGCATTCTCACCCATGATGAGGTTCTGGGTTCGTTTCCAGGCAGGACTTTGTCAATCGAGACTATGTGCTCTTGCAGCACGAGTAGGGTAAAATTAAAAAAATACAAAAAAAAAAAAAAAACCGACAAGTAAATCTTTACCTCAAACACAAGATAATTGGGGGAAGTTAGCGTGTGAAGGAGAATGGAGAAAGCGAATTGGAAGAGAGTTGCAGTAGCAGGGACCGCATGATGGGAATATCTCTATCAAAAGATTTGACTTCCAAATTCGCGATAATGAAGTAAATATCTTTGCCAAAAGATTTCCTTTCTGATTTCTTTGGAAAGAATAAAATTAAAATTAAAATAATGCATACATTCTCTCAAGTCCAAGCGAGTCCATCTGTTGGATTCGCCTGTACCGTACGAGCTATACGCAGCGGAATTTAAATTTTTTTAAAACATGTATTTAACAAATAAATACATAACTCGTACATATATATGGCGAATTAACAGATCGTCATCTTTAAAAACATGTAATAATACAAATTTTGATTTGTTTGATAGTAAATACTATATTTACCGTTAATCTTGAACTCCTTCAAAATCGTAGATGGATTGAGGAAATCGGTTTCCGGATTGGTAACGTCACTTCACTTCTTGTGCTTGTGGTTACTCGCTTTAGGAATCCACGTGTCTTCCCTCTAAACTAGTACTGACCCGTGCGATGCACGGGCTGGTATATTATTTGGGTTTTTTTATAATATCAACATTAAATTTAATGCACTTTTTGGATACGTAACATATATAAAATAGAAAATAACAAATTTAAAACTTCATAAATTAGTAAACACTTCTTTGTACACAACGTTTTGGGTCTGATTTGGTGGCAAGTCATCGTCATTACAGACTAATATCTTCAACCCACTTCGATTCGTGACACGGGAGGCGGCAACATATAATTGCCCATGACTGAACACCGGCTTCTTAAGCAATAAACCAACATGCGATAGCGATTGTCCCTGACTCTTGTTGATAGTCATTGCATACGATACCATAACAGGAAACTGTCGCCTCTAGAACTTGAAAGGAATTCTGACATCGGAAGGAGTTATAGCCATTCTAGGAATCAACACCTTCTCGCCCTCATGATCGCCAGTGAGTATCTTACACTCAATAACATGAGCGAATAGTTTTGTCACAACCAAACGTGTCCTGTTACATAAACCCATAGAATGATCCATATTCCGCAACAACATGACGGGGGTTCCAATCTTCAAATGCAGTTGATGATTAGGAATTCCCGAGCATTTGATGCTATTCAAGAACTCGGGCGTATGGATATCAGAAAGAAAATCATTATTGGAGTCGGACTTGCAAGTACTATCAGAGCTCAAGTACGTATTACCGTCTGATAAATTCAACGATGTCATGTACTCATTGACGGACTCAACAACATCAAGCGTCGGTGCTAATATTGCCCTGTCTTTCAAATAACTGGGATCATCGGTTGTCTGCTTAAACATTGGATACGTGCTTTCTACAATTTGAGCAATTGGATCATCGGATGGTTGAAGCAATATATCCTCAGGTATGTCAATCATTGCACAACCATCGTTTGACCCTCCTATAGTTCCATCACCAATGCTCGCAATCCATTCAGCGAACCGAGCAATCTCTTCACGTTCCTCGGAATCTCTCAGACTCTGTAGACGCATGTTCTTCGTAAGCCTGAGCACAGTACAACTCCTCTAAATGTCAGAAGCATTAATCGCAGCATTCACAATATCCTGACGGCTACCCTTTGGAATTACAGGAAGAATTTGTCGGAAATCTCCACCAAAAACTACTGATTTGCCTCCAAATGGTTTATCCTTTTTAGAAGGATCAATTGCTCCCATAATATCTTGCAACGATGCTTGTACAACTTCGAAACAATGCTTGTGCATCATTGGATCCTCATCCCATATTATCAAAGAACAACGTATTATCAATTCAGCAAGAGGGCTTCCCTGAGCGATATTGCAAGAAGACTCTTGGTGGGGATTCAATGGTATTCCAAATCGAGAATGAGCAGTTCGTCCACCAGGCAACAAAAGTGATGCTATTCCGCTCGATGCGACACACAACACTATACGACCTTTTGATCTCAAGCCAGCAGATAACGTTCTCCACAAAAATGTTTTTCCCGTTCCACCATATCCGTATACAAAAAAAACTCCGCCTTGACCAGAATCGACGGATGACATAATAGTTGAGTACACTC